CTGCTGATGAGTGCAAGGTAAGGTTAACCACCAACATGCTGATTTAAGAGCAGTTAAATAGGATTGCTGGTTTAACTGAACACAGTAGAGCGTTATTCAGCCCTGAAAAGGTCTTAATTCAGAAACAATTTGTGAGTAAAATATTTATTTCTTCCTTCGTCAGGTGAAAGCTGTTAGCCGTGAGAAACAAGATGAGGAATTGAAGACGCAGGATGAAGGCAATTCACGCCATGCAACTCGCCACCAGGTAGTTTAAATGATTTAACCTCAGCACTTGTGTCATATTTTAAGTTTTTTTTTTTTTTCATTGATTGCAGTTCTTGTCACAAGATGGTTCTCATTGCTGCGGGAAAGTGATTTGTTTGTGTTTGTCTTTGTCTCTAGACGCCAACTCCAAAACAGAGTAGATACAAGGAGCAGGTTGCTGAGATGAGGAAGGGAAGAAACTCTGGCCTACAGAAGGAGCAGAAGGAAAAGCACATGGTAGATGATCAACAGCACAACGCATCATTGGCGTGGCATCTAGCTGTCTGTTTAACTTCCTGTTGCGTCCACAGGAGCATCGGCAGACCTACGCCAACACCAGAGAGCCTCTGCTAGAGAACATCACCAGCGATTACGACCTGGAGCTCTTCAGAAAAGCTCAGGCTCGCGCATCTGAGGACCTGGTGATGTCACTACTTTAATTCAGTCCTGATTGCTACATTCCAAGAACAAACTTTTCAGTCCAAGACTAGATTGTTGTGCCTTTAACAGATCTGTCTTCTCTGGTGTTTGCCATTTCAGGAAAAGCTGCGTATCCAGGGTCAGATCACCGAGGGCAGCAACATGATCAAAACCATCGTGTTTGGCCGCTACGAGCTGGACACCTGGTACCACTCGCCCTATCCTGAGGAGTACGCTCGGCTTGGTCGCTTGTACGTCTGTGAATTCTGCCTGAAGTACATGAAGAGTCAGACCATCCTCAGACGACACATGGTGAGACTTAAGACCACAGATACTCCAATGTCAGGCTGCACAGTTCCAAGACATTTGCTGCTAAAGCTCAACTAAAATTTTTAAATGCATTCTATGTACTGACTCTTGAGAATTTTTTTTTTAATAATGGTGCTGATGGATTTCATCTTCCATATATCTTCAGGCCAAATGTGTGTGGAAACATCCACCAGGAGATGAAGTCTACAGGAAGGGATCTATATCCGTGTTTGAAGTAGACGGCAAAAAAAATAAGGTAGAGAAACTCGAACTGCAATTTATTTCTGTCCGTCCCTCTATTTATCCTTCTATCGTTTCCTATATTATCACAGACACCAGAACACTCAGATTAAAGTAGCACTGTTAAAATTTATTACATATTTAAAAAGTTACCCAATAAATGCTATAGAGGTTAGGATAGTCAGCTGGGACTGTGAGGAGAGCCTCCTTCATTAACCCTCAGCCCAGTTTGCGTATTGTTCACTGCACAAAACAAATAGGCAGGAATTCTACTTATTAATAGCATTTATGGTGTCTCAGAACACTGGCACTGGGTGGCGGTAAACAAACGTCATTCTGCACGACCTCTGCTCACTGATTGTAGAATATAACTCTTGAAAATATCTGCATGCCCAAAGATGAATAATGGGGAAGTTTTTAAAATCTGAGGGAGAAGATCCGCTAACGAGCTTCGCCATCACTATTAGTAAGATCACCCCCCCCCCTTTGCTCTATAAAGATCAGGTTTTTATGCATAAAAATTGTCATTCATTTTTATGAATATATGAACCAAAACAAAGGAAAAGCTTTGAGCAGTAGCAGGTCCTTTAACATCATTTCCCCCACTGCCATCAGACTGTTCAACTGTTAAAAAGCTCTGAATTGAGTCACAAATCCAGACTCTGCATCACACTGATAACGTCATACTTGCACCAAATGGGAAGTCTTCAAAACGGAACTCAACTCCAATCTTTTTTTTACAACATTTTGCACCATATCTATTTATGCATTTTGTACTTCTCTGAACTCACTGCTGCTCTTTATTTTTCCTTTTCCCTGCTAAGCTGCGGCTTCTGTCATTCTGTCAAAAAAAAAAAAAAAGGACCCTGCCTTTCGCACGTAGACAGACAGCTGTAGAAAGTCACCAGCATCCCTCGCGACGCCGCTTGTGATAAGCGTGATGGAAAAAAGGATGGATGGAAGTTAATTAAATAGAAATACTTTGGTACCTCTGGGAGTAGCAGCCTAGTGGTTAGGGGATAGAGCTTGGAATCCTGAGGTTATGAGTTCGAAACCCACTCCCAGAAACTGCCACTCTGAGTCTGTGAGCAAGAACCTTAACCCTCGATAGCTCCCCGGGCGCCCCACGGTGGCAGCCCACTACTCCCTAAGGGGGATGGGTTAAATGCAGATAGTTAATATTGTGAGGTCAATATAGTTTTATTTATTTCATTATATGCAGTGAAACTGCTAACATCTAAAGTCATAGCACTCAGCACTAGTAAGAACCCTGTAAGAAGATTATAAATTAAACTGTTCTTGTCTTTTCAGATTTACTGCCAGAACTTGTGTTTACTTGCCAAGCTGTTTTTGGACCATAAGACCCTTTATTATGACGTGGAGCCATTTCTCTTCTACGTGATGACCGAGGCAGACAACACGGGCTGCCATCTAGTTGGTTATTTTTCTAAGGCAAGACACAATCAATCAATTCTTAAATAAAAGATTTTATGGTAAACTAACGTTAACCTTGATCTGTAACTTATTCAGCTTAGTCTAGACATGTTTTCAAAAGTATTTTCTTTTTTTCCATAGGAAAAGAATTCCTTCCTGAACTACAATGTGTCTTGTATCCTGACAATGCCGCAGTACATGAGGCAGGGGTTTGGCAAGATGCTCATTGATTTTAGTACGTACATCAACCTTTAAAGTTTGTATTTGATAGAGTGATGGAGTTCTATTGATCAGTTAGGTGATTGTCTTTATTGGTGAAATAGAGCATCTGAACCATGATAAAGTTTTATACATTTATTTTGTTTTGGTTCTGACTGTTTTTGCTGTTAAGGTTACCTGCTGTCCAAAGTTGAGGAGAAGGTGGGCTCACCAGAGAGGCCTTTGTCTGACCTGGGGCTCATCAGTTATCGCAGCTACTGGAAGGAGGTTTTACTGAGATACATGCACAACTTTCAGGGCAAGGAGATCTCCATTAAAGGTAAGGGGGTGACTAAGGAATTTATTTTTTCTTTTTCTGTTTGAAGGATGGAGATATTTGATCATTTTAGATTTTTCCATAAAGTTCTTGCAGTTTCTACAGGTACATAAAATAAAATAGAACATCATGAAAAACTAATTTCCTTCAGTTATTCAGTGTGTAGGGCTCAAACAATTAATCATATTACCAGTAATTATTAAAATAATGGTCAACTAATTTAGTAATCAATTGTTAACTGGAGTATAGAGACTGAAAAACATGCCTTTAGCTGACAGAGTGACCCACTCACAGCAGTAAATATATCAAAATTGTAAAAACATTTTGCATTTAGGATAGAAAAAAATGTTATTTATCCAGAACTCCTCAATGGAAAAGTTTGAGATTTACCCGGTTTTAATTTCATAAAGTCTTTTTTAAAGAATCTTTGGCTATCCTATTATTAATCGATTTAATCCAAAAAAACGTATCAACAGATGAATCAATTTGCAAAGTAATTGTTAGTTCAAGCTCTAGAAATGTCAAACTCATAGAGATGCATTTAGCATTTTGACTGATTCTTTATTACAGCTCATAAAAACTCAAAAATTGGTAACTCAAAACTACTGAATTAAGATGTTTAATTATACAGAAGTGCCTGGCGATCATTTTCTTTATGCACTGTAAGGCTTTGTACACTTAGTATTTAGTTGGGCCCCTTTATTACTGGAGTCACTGGATCAGCTGATGACACATATGCAGAGATGTTTAGGAAACTTTGGTTGCTTTGCCAGAGAGCGTTAGTCATGGTCAGCTTTGAAGCCTGCTAACATTTCTCCATAGATTCTGTGTGAGGTTTAGTTTTATGTCGGGGTGGGAGCTGATCAGCACAATGAGCAACGCTCCCAAGTCCTGCTTTTAAAATAAATTCAGTTTTTCCATAAAGCTTCACACTAGAAAGAAGCTAAGAGCTCTTTGGACTTGATAAATATCCAGTTATGAGCTGTAAGCCACAATCATAATTGGAAGTAAAAAGCTTGAAAGGTTTTTAAGTTTATGAACAAATATGAGTTTCCATTCTAAACTGAATTTTTAAAATAGACCAACTTTTCAGTTAACTTCCAATTTATTTAGATGTATCAGTAAATTCAACCAAATGTTTTCTATTTCTGTTTTTTTGGTGGATTCAGAGATCAGTCAGGAAACTGCAGTGAACCCAGTGGACATTGTGAGCACCCTGCAGTCACTTCAGATGCTGAAGTATTGGAAGGGGAAGCACTTAGTTCTTAAACGACAGGTAAGATCAACTTGTTTCTTTTCATTTTCCATTTAACCATAAATAATAAGATGACTTGCTAGGTTTGTATTCCAACAGTTTAAGCACCGCCTGCTGCTTTTGTCTTTTTTAGGACCTGATTGATGAGTGGAAAGCCAAGGAGATCAAACGAGGTAACAGCAACAAAACTATCGACCCAAGTTCTCTAAAATGGACCCCTCCCAAAGGGACATGAGCACAAGATCCTCAGGCTACTAAAAAAACTAAACTTCACTACCAGCCTCGAAAACCACAAGTAGCCTAAGACCTTCGACTCGTCTACGAAGATCAGTGTTACATTTCTTTTACATTTGTATCCAGATAATTTCTTTTATTTTCATTTATATTTTAGCTTAATGAGTTTAAGCATTTAAAGCTAGAGAAAGCTGTCTTTGTTTTTTTTAACAGGCCTTTGTCTTTGTTGTGAATGTTAGATGAAATGAACTAGTGCGGCGCAGAAACACAAATGTTCTGCTTTGCTCACAAAGCGATGGAATACATAAAGACATTTGGAAGCATTTCCAGGTTTCTTTTTTTTATTTCTTTCAAATGTTGTGCATCATGAAGATGGTTATTCCTGTTTTGGCATGATCAAAAAAAAAAAAAAAGAAAAAAAGAAGCAGGGTTAAATTTTTTACTAAAAATATTTTTTATAGTCTTTGGCTGGTGTAAACGTATAGATGTTTTGTTTTTCCCTTTAAGCCTAATTAGTATGAGATGTGTATCCATTCCTTTAGGGGACCTGCCAAATAAATAACATAAAAAAAATGAGATTTTTGAATTTGCTAAAGTCAAAGTAACACAACCTCAGGTTTTTGTACAGCTGCAATCATACCTTGCTTGGACGGTTTCTCTGGATCGTGGATCTCCTCGGTTGTTACATAAGGAATCACTGCATTAAGCGGCTCTGAAATAAACAAAGCATTTAAATGGGACCACATTTTCTTTGTGATTTTCATTGCTTCTCTCTACTCTTCCTTTTTTTAATTATGGATAAAGCTGCCTTGATATTTTGAACTATTGTTTGCTCACCTTCACTGGAAACACTTCTTCCCATCAGGCCCACAAATGCCTCCCCTTTATTTCCTAGAAGGATGAAATAGGATCTTTCTAAGTACTCACTTTTTGTAATTATTTGAAGAAAAAAAAGGGGTTATAAGGAGAGTTTTAATCACTCACTCTTTTTTGCTTGAAATTGTATCTTTGGCTCTGAAGGAGAAAAAAAACATGTATTACACTGCAAAAATGATTTAGAAATAAGTAAACATTTAAAATAATTAAGATAATTAGATACTATCCACTTGAGGAAAGAGACTGCAGTTTTTTTTCTTAATTTGAATGTAAATTGTCTCGTTCCGTTGTAAAGTCTCACCTCAATTCAAGAAAAAGTTCATTATTTTGATAAAAAGTAGATAATTGAGATTTCCATATTTTTGTCTATAAACACAGAATTAAACAGATTATGCAGGATGTTAGTTGAGGCAGGGATGCTACCTGCTCTTCTTCCCATCAGCCCATAGAAGCGAAGAGCTTTCGATCTTTTCATCAGAGTTTCTAGAGGGCTGATCAGACGTTTGTTGACAGACTCGTCCTGTCAGGAAAATTAATACTGGTTCAAGGATTGCCCCATTATTACTGCAAGAGTCTCCAAATAATGTGCCAGGTAAAGCTCTTACCTGCCAGTGTGTGGACAGCTGCCGCTCCTCTTCGTTAGCACTAGTCCATCCTTTAGAAGTTTGCACGAGCACACAGAAAGTCATCACGACCAGCTGAATCTTCCACTTTTTCATCTTAAGGTCAGAAAAAAAGGGATTCAGCTCTGGTTCCCTTCAGTCAAAGCAGCGTCTTTAATATTTGTAGCTGAGCATGCAACAACTTCTGATGATCCTATTCAGTCGTCTGTTCTGGACCAACAGGCAGTATTTATATCCTTAAACCCTCTTGGTCTACCAGAGCCCTCCCCTCCAATAATTATCCACACATCGCGTTTAGGTCTCTAATGTTTCCAATCTCATATTGACTCAGTTGTGCACTAATGTTGTCTCCATATAGTCCTTGTTATTCATATAAATGAAAGCCTTAATTTGAGTAAAATGTAACAGATGTAGTTTATGTAAATCTGCTCTAAAGCAGGCCCAAAATGTCATTTCAAGCTTTACAAGCAACAGAGAAACTTAATCTTCAAACTCAAATATTGACATCTTTAAACCGCCGCCTTTCATTTCCAGTTTTATTGTTGCCGGTCCTAAAAACATCCACTCTTTTCTCATTTGTCTCCTTGCGATGTGTACAGACTCCATTGATATGACAGAGACAGGCAGACGCCAGGGCTCTGGGCAAGGCTTTGCAAATGTATCTGACTATTTTATTGAAGATTCTATTCTTCTATTGACTGGATTGATGTGCTTTAATGCTTTGTTGCAAACCCTGATCATCTAATATCTGTTTTAAACTATCAGTGCTTTATGTACTTTCTTTTTCCTTAGATTTGTTCTGTTATATCCTTTATCTCTACATGCTTAGCCACTAAATTTTTCTGTTTTTAAGGAAATGTGAACTCTACCTCTACGGCCATAGAAATTTTCTAGAGAGGCAATTATGTGACAATCCGTGTTCTGTGAGGACACCCACTTAAAACAAAGCTGACAACAAACATCAAATGCTTTGATCCCCACACAGGTGCTTCCACAAACAAGAAAAGCCTGTCACAATTAAGCCTGAAAGGCAATTACACCTGAATAGCCCTTACATGTGTGTGTGTGTGTGTGTAGTCTTAACTCAGTGCCTGACGTGGAGAGGCGAATCAAAAGAAATTGCAGGCACAGGATCTGCATATGAAATGGCTGAGTCACAAAAGAGCCCCTGTAATGGCAGGAGGCTGCATTTCAATGTGACGCAGGGTGGATCATGCTGCCTGATTCTGATTCACTCTGACGATCTGAGCCTGAACGTTCAATCGGATTTCATTTCCTTGCAGATTTATATTTATAGATCTATATATATACAGAGCACGAACATAATGAGTGAGGAATGGTCCAGTTATCATTCACACCTGAACCTTCACACCTTTAGCATCAGAAATAGACAATACGTAGAAAAAGCTGGTGAAAAAATAAAACAAAGGAGATGATTAGAGATTTCAGGAGAAACAGGAACAATTCAGGTACCTTTACCATCATAGAAGAAGAAAAGGTGGTGGAGGAGTAAACTTAGACTTACTTAGACAACTTTTATTGTCATTTTTTTGTACACACAGTGTATTCAAAACAAAATTTCATTTTGTACACCTTTCATAACATTTCCATTCCTTAAAGTAATGCAATGCAAACGGCAAAGGAGAAATTAACATGCAAAAACACGTTGATATGGAAGTTCAGAGCCTTAAATATGTATGGTGCAAATATGTAGAGTTTTGGATTGGTGATATCAGTGTGATGCAGAGTCAGAGACATGTTTTCACAACATTCAGCAGTCTGATGGCGGTGGGGAAGAAGCTGTTTTCGGAATCTGCTTGACCTGCATCGGATGCTGCAAAGCCTCTTCCCAGAGAACAACAGGGAGAACAGTCCATGGTGGTAATGATGTTCTCGGGCTCGGTAAATGCAGCTCTGGGAAGAAATGTCTTTTATGGAGGGAAGAGGAGCCCCGATTGTCCTCACTGCTGTTCTCACCAGTTTTCTCTATTTCTTCCAGTCTGAGATGCTGCAGTTTCCACACCACACAGTAAAGGTACCTTGCAATTCAAACTGAACTGGAAAGGCAACTATAAAAGCGTCTGCAAAAAGTTCACACTGCACTTCTTGAAGAAGCTTAGGTTGTTCAGCGTTTGCAACAAGATGACTGTGTTCTATAAGTGCATTGTTCATCTATTGGGGTAACAGCATCAGAGCAAATGTCGTAAAGAGGTCCAATAATCTAAAAAAGAAGGCCGGCTCTGTTCTGAGAGGATTTTGGGAGAACTCTTCATAAAATGAGGAACATTGTGGGCAAACCCAAGCATCCTCTTCAACAGAGCCTCATCAGTTAGAAGCTTCTCCACATGTCCTCTGAGATAGAAGACTACAGGAAATCCTTCCTGTCAACAGCCACCAGCCTCTACAACTCACTTAGGATACAATTTCCCCCTAGGATTAATAAAGTATTTTTATTTTATATTTTTATTTATTTTTATTTAGTTAGAAAAGCAGAGGAATGATGTGTAGCAGGAAGTCAAAGATAAAAACCAAAGGTCTATTTGTTACACAATAAGTTGCAGTGAAATCCATTTCAAACACCAGCCCATCTTAGCAACTGGCTAGCTAAAGCGGTAAGTCACTCGTCCTGCAAACAGGAAGCCAACAGGTTCGTATCCCAGCTGGGGGGATGAGCTGCCAGTGTGGGTCCGTAGCAAAGGTGTAGGTTTGATTTTAACTTTGGTAGGGACACTATTTGTTTTCAGTTTCATTGGTCTGATGTCATTGGTCCTATGCAAACATATGCATGCCCTGTTTTTATGCTTAACATGAGCATCAGGGTGCATTTTGTTTAAAGAGAACAGCAGCCTTTCTTCTACATTAATACAAATCTTACAAGCATTACACGCACTAGATTATCAATGTTTAAAGCATTGCTGGCTGTGACGAATGTGGAATTAGGACTTTTTTCCACTTTGAAAAGTGAAAAAATTTAAACTTACCAGTGACTAAGACAGTAGCTAAATACGTACCTATTTAACCAAATATAATATGTTCTTTTGAAGATATAGAACTGTGCAGAGGTAAAACCCAGTCTTATTTTTTTTATCTAATATCATGCAAAATAATACATTCAAGGAAAGGTAAATAAATGTATTTACATCTCCACTGAAACTGTAAGAGGAACTAACACTGAGAGTTTAAAATATTAACTTCACTATACAAGTTGTACATCTAGGCTGTATATATATATATATATATATATATATATATATATATATATATATATATATATATATATATATATATATATATATATAAACAGTGATATAAACATATCACTCTAAATTCACAGTTCTAATGTTTGTTTTTTTCATCTCTACTGGACTGTGTGTGTATCAATTGGTTTATTTAAATTTTTTGACTGCACAGCCTTTGTCTGGAGATCTTGACTGCTCTTTTCTATGGTTTTGGTGAGTTGATGAGTGAGTGAGTGAGTGAGTGAGTGATATGGTGTGAAGTTCTTATGAGATTGTTAAGTTCTGTTTTTGCCTATTTTTTGACACAATTGATCATTTCCCCGTTTGTTGGACTTACTGTTTATTCTCCACCTGTGCAAATAAAAAACAAATACTGCCCATCCCTTGTGTTTGGCTGGATAGATCTCGGAATGCCATCAACTTCAAAAGTAGAACTTGGTTTAAAAAAGGTTTGGGCACCCCTGCTCTAGCAGAACCAGGGTCAGAGTGAGAGGCGTGTTGGAGGCTCATGGAGAGAAAAGCAGACACACAAAGGACCATAAACGCATTGATCCATAAGGGCTTTCTATGTTAGTAGAGGTAATGGTAACTTAGCTCCACAGGTGGCTTGGAGCTTAGAGCCAGCCAAAGGGTATGAAAGACAGCACATCCAGTTAGTTAGGCTGCTCTGAACTGTTGCCTTGCAGCAAGGAGGTCTCTGGGATCTGCATGGAGTTTGTATGTTCTCCCCTTGTATGCATGGGTTCCCTCCAGGTACACTGCTTCCTCCTACAGTCAAAAAACATGTATGTTAGGTTAACTGGCTTCTCCAAATTGTCCTTAAGCGTGAGCGTTTGCGTGAATGGTTGTGTTGCCCTGCCACAGACTAGTGACCTGTCCAGACCATGGTTAAAACCTACAGAGTTATCTGCAGGAGATAGGGACCAGACCCACCGTGACCCTGAAAAGGACTAAGCTGGAGAAAATGGATAGATGGACATCAGTTGGTCACAGTAAAGCCCATAGCTATCACTAGGAGAGAAACAGGACCAAGCACTGAAAAACAGGCACAGCTCAATCATCTGTTATCATTTTACTAATTACAAACCATCACATTAGTTTTTTGTTGTGTTATCCTTTTAACCAACATAACCACCAGATGAATATATTGAATCAGTGTAAACACGTCTGTGTTTACTTAAATGGCATTTTGAAGCATCCCTGCTTTGCTGCACACATGAACTACAATGATAAACAACAACCCTTACTTTGTAGGAATGTTCTTTGGCACGCTGATTATAGCATGTAAACCCAAAAAGGGTATTGCTGTCAAAAAGGCTACAATTTCCCCGTGCTAAAGCAAATGAGTATAACACTGAGTAGAGGTAATAATGTTAGAAATGGGTGTTTATTTAGAAAGCATTAACTACAATCCTGTGAGGTTTACGAAGCAAAGCCAAATGATGAGTTTGTTGGAGATTCACAAGGCTGTGGTAACAAATCTATCATGGCAGAATGTGTCCATCTTCAAATGCACTTCTTAAGTCTGCAATATGTTAATGCTGATAAATCTTTCATCAAAAACTGCATTTGCCAATACTGTAACAATAAAAAACAAGAAATGGGGGAAAGTATCCATTACATTGCAGACAGGGTTTGATCCTGAACAATTAATGATTTTGGGAACTCTGACTTCTTTGCTTCAAGCTTTAGCAAAAATCAAAGCCCTTTGATTCTTTTCAAGTCATCATTGCATTTGATGATGGCAGAAAGAGAACATTGCAGTCTTCGTAAAGATTGGTCGGCTCCCTCTAAAGTCAACGAAGCTTTCTTTGTGTTTAAATTAAACCATGTTGATTTTATTTGCAGCTTCAAGTCCTTAAGTCATCTGTTTCTCCTTTAAATTACAACGTTATTTGTCTTCTATATATCATTTCTCCAATTGCTCCACTGACATGCGGACTCTGAGTCAGCTCTGTAGGTTTTT